TCATTTCTGCAAAAGGATTCCCCACCAAGTATTGAGTGCATAACTGAACATAATTATTTGAAGGTCGACTTTTTGTATTTAAAACACTTTTCTTTTATTGGTCGGATGAAATATGGTAATTTTTTGAGATAGGGCTTTTTGGTTTTTCTTTACTTTTTTTTTTTTTGCCAAAATCATCAATTTTAAAACAATAAAAGGCTTGAACTACTTCAGTTGGTGTGCAATGAATCTAAAATATAAGAAAGTTTAATTTTTATCAGTACATTACAGAAAATAATGAACTTTATCACAATATGCTAATTTTTTGAGAAGGACCTATAGAAGTCTTGATTTGCACAACTGTTTCTCCTGCACCACCTGACAAACTCAATATAAAGTTTAATATAGTCATGGACACCTCCTTTAATCATAACTATGAATTGTTAAATTAAAAATAAAAGGAGTTTATAACATTTGATGCAAGACCACTAAATGTTCCATCTGACCAGCTCTGGTAGCCTGTTTGTTTTTACTTCAACTATACAGATTAAAAACAGTTATGTGAAAGAATTGAATCAGTGTGAATTCAAGTTAAAAACAACAGATTTATCCACATTATATATAAATTTATTTTAAAAAATCAGCCTAGGACATTACAGTTTAACAGATGTTGAAAGGAGACATTCTGGACTACAGGATCATCTCTGAGTCGTCTAAAGAGGCCTCGCTCATCTCCTCAGACAACCCTTCATCCTCCTCCTCCTCCTCCTCAGCAGGCCTCTTCACACCCCTCTGCTTGGAGAGCGCCACGGCGTAACGGATATTATACATGTTGAAGTCACAGCTGTGAAGAGAAAACACTTTTATCCATTTAATCTGAACCAGAAAGAGTCTGAAAAGCTAAAGATTTCAATGAAGCAGGGTTATTGAGGAAGGTTTACTTTCAGTGCTGGCTGCAGAAAGACAGACGCAGAAGATGTTTGTGTTTGTTTCTGTTAGCAAAATATCTCATGAACAACTTGAGAGATGTTGATGAAACTTTCAGGAAATAATCATTGAATGTACGTTTACAAATGATTAACTTTTACAGTAGATCCAACCCTGTTCAAGATGGCCACCACAACCAACTGATGTAAAAGTTTTGTAAAGAAAAAAAAAAGGCTGAGACGTACAGTTTGGACAGATTGTCAAAGTGTCTCTGGATGCTCTTCTGCAGCGCCTGCAGGGTGGGCAGGATGGAGCCGGACCTGCAAACACAAAATAAGTCCTTTCAGACACTCGGAACCAGAACGCTACAGTAAACCTGGACAACTGTCCTGACCTGTTCTTCAGCTTCTGACCGTGCAGCATGAGCAGGTTCTGAGCCCAGGTCATGTAGAACTGCAGGTGGCTCGACGCCTCCAAGCACTGCGCCACGAAGCCCAGCAGCTTCTCCACGTAAACATCAGGCAGAGACCCACAAACCACCGGGACTGCAACACAAACGCACACTCGTCACGTTTGACGGGTCAACTCTGTGCTGGTCCGGTTCTTAAAAAGACCCACTCACTCTGATCGTGTGGCACCGTCTCCAGGACTTCCTGCTTGAGGTCCTTTTCATTGAGTCTGAATGCCAGGACGATGGCCGACACCCACTGCTGGAGGCGGAGCTGCTTGCGAATGCTGGTGGGCGTCACGTCCAGGTCCAGATCGTACGGGTCGAACACCAGAGAGCTGTCGAGGGAGTAGACCAGCAGGCCCTCGGTGGTGGTGGCGGCCCAGCTACGACCTGCCAAGTGGAACTGCTTTATTCAAGTTTTAGTTATGAAAAAAAGGCTTTAAAGTACACATGTGCTTTTAATTATTCATTTGGGGTCGATATAAAGTGGAACTGGAACGCTTTGGTCTAAATCATCTCTGATTCTAACTCCACAATTCCTTTATTTCAGAAAAAAAGGGAAATGAGATATCTGAATAATCCAGGAAGAGGAGAGGAAAAAAAACTGATCTTGATCCAGTATGGCAGCCATGTTCTGGACATAGCCTAAAGGCCTTTTTATACTCCCTCTGAAGTTTATGTGTGATTGGTCTGAAGTTCGTTAGCCTGGTTTAAACCAGACCCTGTCCTTCACTTTGCTTCGTACAAGGGTCTGGACTTGATGCATAGAGAATCGATTTCTTGCAGGAGGCGTGGCCTCTGCTGAAGTTTAAAATGATTGGATCAGTTGGCTGCGATGTATGTCGCTGTGACAGAGGCTAAGCTAAGAAGCTAACCGGAAATAGCGTGTGCTGTAAACAACCCTACTGAGAGGAGAAATATACTGAGCCGAACGAGACGACTGTAAATGAGAGCTGCTGCTTTGTCAGATAAATTTATTTGAATTTGGAAGCCTTATCAACACAGACTGGCTTCATTCACTTCCTCCACTGCCGTATGCTAAACTAACTAGCAGAACATCGATGTCATTCAAAACTCCACCTTCTGTTCTCTGATTGGCCCAGGTAAAAATCTGCCAGTGAACTCCATCTCAATGGGAGAAGCCCCAGACGGAGCAGTGAAGGGAAACTAGAATTTAGCGGAGCTGCGTAGGAAGGCAAGGGCCAGGCTAGAAGTTCGTGGGCGTGTTTGTTTATGCTGAAATCACTCTGACGCTGCATTTTGCTCCAACTACCCGCTGCCCGAATGTGTCTGCTGTAACCAGAAACAGACATTTATAAAGATAGTCAAACGGCCAAAAACCCATGATTGGAGATAAAACAGATGTTTTGTACGAAGGAGTCCGTCTGTAGATAAGTGTGGCGTGTGAACCTGGATAGATTTGTGAAAAAATAACAGCGGATCGGAGTCGTCCCCCCCACCAGAGTGTAGACTCCAAGAAACACTGTGCAGTGACGTGTGCAACAGTGGGAGGGGTCTCCCAGCAGTTCAGCGCGGTGTGTCTCAGGAATTATGAAAAGTGTGTGGAAACAATGGTTGGAGTATGTGGAGACCTTTAAAGATAGACCTCCTCACACATTACTTGCTGGGGTGTTCAAATATGTAATTTTCCCTTTAATTTCTGAAACCAAAGGGTGTCCTGTGAGTTTTGACTCACCCTGTATAATCAGCCTGTGTTCACACCTGTGTACTGTTGCACCTACCGGTTGGAGAAAACCGCAGTGAGCTGACTTTGATCTCAGGTTTGAAGTGACGAGAGCTCATGTCGCCTTCAGAGAAGAAAAAAAACAGGAAGTGAATAAAAGTGCCTTCAAACATCAAGCTGGCACAAACAACTTGAAGTGTGGAGGCATGAATGTGGTTCACACCTCTCCGGACTCCTGGCAGGCTGATGTTGACCTCGTCTCCGTCACCAGCTCCTTCATCCACCAGAGCTAAACTCCCAAACTCTGTCATCTTCCTCCTGTCCAGGAACTCCTACAGAAGAAGGGAACAATCGAGTCTTCGCACAAACAATTGGCAAAAAAGTTGGGAAGTTGCGTAGAATGTAATAAAAAGCAAATGAAATGATTTTCAAATCAAGTCAAAATACTTTTATTCAGGATGGAACATAATAAACAAACAGCGAGGGTTCAGGCAGGTCAGCTCAGCGTCTGGAATCTTCTACAAGCATGCTGATATTTGTAAAGCCTTCACTGAAAACACCACCTGAATGACAGCATATGATGTTCTAGAACAGGTAGTGCTGGGCGGTATACCATTTTGTACCGAAAACCGCTTTTTATTTTTGTTATGATATGAATTTTCTGAATACCGGACATACCGGTTTAAATAGCCTGAACATGTTTCATCGCGGCCGCCAGTGAACTGTTTCCCGGGGGACACGTTTCCTCACAGCACCGCTTTGCGCATTAGCATGCTAACGTTATTGTTGGAGCAACTGGCGGCGGGTGGTGTGTTTCAGCCGCTTATATGGTCTGACGTAAAAAAAAACATTCTGTTTTCACCATCGCTGAATGTAGTAAACAGCTCTACAGTGACGTGCACGGTTAGATTTAACGCACTAAGTTAGAGACGTTAATGCATGGAGACTTTAACGTGCTTATTGTGAAAAGCCCGGGGTGAAGTAGTTTTGTAGTACAGCTGAGTTGACTGGTGTGCAAGGTGAGTCGTCCTTTTAAGTTTTATTAGCGCAACGATAGACCAGATAATGATTTTTTTTCTCAACTCTTCACTATCGGACCTAAATGCATGATTACTGTCTACAACCAGGCAAAGAAGAAAAGACGTACAAGAGGAGGGACACAGTGATACAAAGGTACAGTAAAAGAAAAAAGTCAATAAGCAAAGTTTGTACATTTTATTTTCTGCTGAGCTGTGAGGAAAAAAATACCGTCAAATACCGTGAAACCGGTGTAATTGTTGAAAATACTGCCCACCTCTAAGAACAGGGGTCTCCAACCTTTATCTCTTTAAGAGCTACTTTCACAAAATGAAATTGTCCGAGAGCTATTTTTTGCAACATTTAAATTTAACCATTGGAATTAGCTTGTTTTGCACAAAAAAAAACATTGTCTTCAGTTCACATGAAACTATCACAAAATAAATTGAATTTACGTGAGTTTTAGTGTTTGTGTTCTATTCATATTAGTTATTAGTATTTCACACTTGTAGGGGTTCCCTACCTACCTCGATTTCTGGTTTCTGATGGACATGGCTTGTTATGACTGTTTGGTGAAGAAAGTAGGATATATTCATTTCAGACTTCTTTTAAAGCATCTTGCATGGACCTTTGTGCTTGGAATTAGCATATCAGTCGTCGCCATGACTCCTCAGAAGAACATGAAAGGGTTGCATTCACACCTTCCAGCCAACCCCCAGAAGGACAATCTATTTACATTTCTTCAAAGAAAGGAAAGGTGTCATAACATTCCTTTAAGAACCTTCCAGCATGACTGAGAACAAAGGATCCCACACCTTAAGTAAATAAAGGGGAAAGATTGACCACTCTGTTCTTTTTAACTGTTTGCCCCTAAGAAGAGTGTTATAAATGTGTCTTTTGGTGTTAATTG